ATATATATATATAATATTATATATGTGTGTGTGTAGATAGCTTTAGCTGACTGACGCTCCCCCGATCGCTGTGTATATGGATTCATTTTTTTAATTTTGCTCGTGTGCGTATATCGCTATGGGTGTTGCAAAGAGAGGATGAATCAAGTCCTGCATTGGTAGCATTCACAAAAAAATGGCGTCCTGCGATGTTGGCCATGGAGGTCAAGGCGTCCAGCTTCTGCGCCCGGGAGACCCGCGGCACCAGCGCCAGATTCCTAGGGGCCCCGGCATCGCTCTGAGTAGGCTGAGAGGCGTCTTTGAACTGTCCCATGAGACAGTGTTTCAAAAAAACATAGGCTTTTTATAGGCTTAATATTAAAAAACCTTTGAACTGTCCCATGAGACAGTTCCGGCCGGGCCGCAGCACCGAGGCGGAGGTCTGCGCCAGGGCCGCGAGGAGCTCCTGGGTGCCGTACATGTTCCAGAAGCCCACCATCCTCGGGAAGACCTATACTTATATACTTTGAGGGAGTTATTTGGGGGGGGGGTGGGGCTTTTTCGGATTTCCCGCAGAAAAAGGGGAGACACCAGGCCGAGGCCGGGGCGTCTGCGTCCCCTGTAGCATCTGCACTTCGTCCAGCAAGGGCTCGGTGACTTTGAAGATGATGTCCGCTTGCCTGGGTTCTTGCTAGGGGATTTTTTTTCAGTTACCATCATGGGGATCTCTATAGTAAATAATATGGCTTCTTTACTAGATTCTGTACTATGGTAACTTAAGTAACATCCCTTAATAAGAACCCAGTTGCTTCAGCACTTCCACGGAGCTCTCCGCGACCTGAACACCGCCGTGCCTCGTGTACTCCTCGTCCGTGAAGCCCGCGGCAGTGCCGGAGCCGGCCTCCAACAAAATCGAGAAGCCTCGGAGGAAACAGAAGAGGAGGAGGGGGGAACCGGCCTGCTGATGTAGCTACTTTCTTGCTTTCACTTTGTTTCTGCCGCCCCCGAGGGGCCCATGCGCCGCAGCTTCACTACGGCGGAGGGCGCGAAGCTGACACGAGCTTCGCCTGAGAGCTGACCATCTCGGCTCTCAACTCCTAGCTTTTTAGACGCGAAACGGCGCGCCTGGGAGCCGCTCCCGAACAATGCCGATGACCCGGACCGCCTCCGGGAAGACCTCCGGCTCCACGCCTGCCCGGGAAAAGGCGCGTCTGTAGGCTCCAGAAAGAGAGGGCTGTGCGGCGGCGTGCGGCGGCCTTGGGTGGTGTCGTGCTGATCACCCGAGGAGCTGGCACCCGCAGCGGCGGTGAAGCGGTCTTGGCTGTCCTGCCGAGGCCACGTCTTCGAGACAAGAAGTGTTTTTCGGGTTATTGCAATGCCGTTGTTGAAAAGTCCCCAGGAGTGCCTGCTTCTGCCGTCTTCTCTCAACATTGTGACACATGGTCTGCCGCTGCTCTACAGGACCTGAGAGAATAGCTCCTCCAAGCAGCTGCTGATGTTGTCCATGGACTGCTTGGCATCTCCGAAGAGCCTTCGTTTGGACTCCAAGGGAGGGAGTTTCTTATAGATTCTCAGGTGCTCAGCTGTTGGTTTAAAACACCGACGAGTGGCATCTTGACGTTGCTCAAGTAGAAGAGGGGGTTGTCCACGCCACTGTAGCCCGTTCCCATAGAACGCTTAAGTACCACACACTGCTTGCACTTCCAGATCTCGATGGCTGGCATGCCATAAATCGGGCTGCTTGGATCGTCCTCGAAGAAAGCTCAAAATTAGCAAAAAGCGCACGTTTTTGGATCCCCGTGTTCCGAGGGACCTGACCCGACTTGAAGTGCCCTGACCCTATAGGCATTAGGTCCTGCGTGGCAGGATTAACGATGTCGTTGGCTCCGACCACAATCCCGACGTCGTAAGTTGGAAGCTCCGCATTAATCTCGTCCATCTCCTTGACAATGTCATAGGGTACGTCAGCCTCTGCCAAGAGCACGTTCATGTGGCCAGGCATACGGCCAGCAACAGGATGAATAGCAAAATGCACCGTGACGTTGTGCTTTCTCAGCATGGCGACAATCTCTGCCAACTTCTGCTGGCATCTTGCGACTGCAAGGCCGTAGCCTGGAACGATCACGACCTTCTTGGCCCCGAAGAGCATGCCGACGAAACCCACTGCCGAGACCTCGCTCACGTTCTCCCTTCCACCTGTGGGCGCCGCCCCGGCTGCATTGCTGCTGGAGTCTGTGCCGAAGCCGCCCAGGAGGACGTTGTACATGGAGCGATTGATCCCACGACACATGATGTCCGAGAGCAGCGTACCGCTGGAGGCGATCAGAGCTCCAGAGATCGTCAGGAGGTCGTTGGAGAGCATGAAGCCGGCGGCGCTGGTGGCCAGGCCACTAAATGCGTTCAGGAGCGACACCACCACCGGCATGTCCGCGCCGCCAATGGGCAAGACCATGTTCACGCCCAGAAACCCCCACAAGGCTGTGTTCCCTAAGAGCAGGGCGGCCCCTGCATGGGATGCATAGGTGGCAGGATTCAGGAAGAGGGCCGTCAGAACCACAGATCCCGCCAGGGCCCCGCCGTTCAAGAGCCAGCGCTGTGGGAGGATGATCGGCTTCCCCGGGATCATCTCGTGCAGCTTCCCGGCAGCTACCACGGAGCCAGTAAAGGTCAGCGAGCCGATGGCAATGCCCACCACCGTCTCCAGCGCCTTCATCACCGTGTAGGGGTTTGCCACGTTGCAGTAGCTGGCGAAGCCGGCGAAGACCGCGGCCAAGCCCACGAAGGAATGGAAGCCCGCAACCTGCGTAGCTACTAACGATGACCCCTGCACAGAGTCGCTCTCCTTTTGCCAAGCTGCTAGCTGCGGCATATCCTCCATCTTCACGGTGCTGGCAATGCCATAGCCGACTCCGCCAGCCGCCAAGAAGGTCAGGAAGAAACCTGAGACGCCCACCGGGCAGGTTGCAGCTGCACTTGCACTGCCTTCCCCGAGGGGCCTCAGGCGCCGAGGGGCGGATGTGCGCAGAGTGGAACCCAGGGGACAGCAGCACGGAGAGGATGCCCAAAGCAGTGGCAACCATTCCTCAGATGCAGAGAGGCGCCGGGGCTGCGGCAGCCGTCCGTCTTGACCAGTGATGAACCTCAAAGGCCGAGGCTCCCATGTAGTTCCCCTCCCGGGCCGTGGAGTGCTTGTTCAGGCCCTTGATCGACCCGATGAACATCACGGCGGAGGTCCTCCAGCCACATGCAGTAGAATCTGGACGTAAGAGTGGCGTCTTAAGCGTTTTTTTTACAACCCTTAACAGAAACGGATCCTTATAGGGTGGGCCGAGTCGCAAGGAGAAGAGCCCCACGTGGGTCGCCAGGGACTTCTCGCTTTCCTCGAGGAAGGCGTCGATGGAACCGACGCCCCCAAGCCTCAGAGCACAGGCCCACGTCTCCACGTGATACACCACTGCAGGGGTTCTTTCCGGGGGCCGATAGGGCATTGGAGAAGAACCTATAGTCACAGATAGTTCGTTGACTGTGGCATGAACATATGCTTCTGCATTGGTGGCAAGTCCATTGTGAATATGACTGACCATCAGTATCAGCAAAGTCTAGCAACATTTTGTCAAGCCGTTCCCTTAGGAAGATCAATGCTGCCTTGCTATCTGGTTTATGCCCGTGGTCCTGCGAAGTTGAATTGTGCATAGGCGTTGTTGACGCTCGTGCCGCTATTCAGAGTATTTCCGTGACTGCATCCACGACAGCACCATTACACGTAGTAGCCGCAGCCTGTCTGTGAGTCGGTATGAGCAGAAGATCCCCTCGGTCCAAGCTGCTTCAGCGGCATGTCCAGCGCAGTGCCACCCCCACTGCCAAGTGCCTGCATGGCCTGCACCAGCGGGAGGCCACCTGCCGGATACATCCCGGAGAGACGCTCAGAGAACTCCCGCTCTCTCTTTTGGCGTGGGCCTGCCAAGCCCGCCAGTGACTTCATGGCGGTGCTGGCCCAGGCATTGAGGACCTCAGATGCTCATGAAAAACAAACCCAACCTCAGACGCCCCAAAAAACCGAGAGCTCTGCAAACAATACCTGCGATTCTTTCCAGCGCCTGAGCCCTGCTGCCTGGAGGCTGGCAGAGCCGACGGGCAGGCCGGGATGCAGAGGCTCAGCTGCTGCGGACGGCTCTGCACCTGCAGTCTTAGGGAATTTAGGGAGAAAGAGACGTGGCACCCAAGGTGCACAGTTCCTGGACCACCCTCTAAATACGAAAGATTACGAAAGCAGGCGGAAGGACCTTCCCCGAAGCTTAGTAGGGTTAGTAGCCTCGACTCAGGCCCTTTTCCTGCTTTCTCCATGCTGCGCAGCTGCCCTAATCTGCGAGAGGTCCAGGTCCTCCTCCTCGTCCCGAAACCCGGAATCGGCGAGCACATCGCTTGAACGCACATTCCTCTTGTAGCCTCAGCTGCCGCTGAGTTTCGATTCAGGCCCAAATTGAAGCCGCTTTCCGTTGAATCCCCTTAAGAGTGATGAAGACATGATCCCAGAATGCAGCGTCAACCAGAAGCAACCCGCTTCTAAGGTTCCGCCGGTCCGCATCTGTACAAGTAGGTCTCCCGAAAACTCGGCAGGTTCACCGCATCACTCATGGCAGTGGCTGAGAGTGTCATCTGGCCGAAGGATGCGCAACTCCTCTGTGAGTCTGAGGCAGCTAGGTGGCTAGGCACAAAAAGGAAACTGCATCAGCTGCCGGAATCCTCCTCAACTCTCGACGAAGCCCTTCCCCATTGCTCTCTCTGGAAGAGCAGCCTGCTGTTTAAAACCTCGCGAATGCACGGTGCTTGCCGGAGTTGTTGCAAGCATCTGTGCGTCGCGAGGAGGATAAACGTCGCTGACAAGCTTGCCCTGCAAACCCTATGAGACCCACCTTCAACCCTCTAAACCCCGGTACTGTACCTGTAACCGATCATCTCAAGGCTAAAATCCGCTGCGGAGGTGCGGTCCTCCGGCTCCTGACCTCGAGGCCCTGCTCCCGGCGCAGCGTGACCCGCAGCTGCTCCTGAGGCCTCCTGAGCCGTGCATTCCGGAGTCTCGGGCTTTGGGAGGGGGGGGGGTGGGGGGCTGTGCATTTAGGAGGGCATCTATAGGAATCTTGGAATCTATGGGGGGGTTTCGAGTTATTGAGGTGAGGCTCTACTTCGGGCTTATGTAAGCCATTTCGGGGTTTAAGCGCCAAGGGTTTGGGCAGGCTGTCTGGGCCCAGTCGCAGGGCGCCCGCCGCCTGGCCGAAAAAGTCGGCAAAGGCCGCCATGGCGCTAATTTCACTCTTGCTGAAGCTCTCTTGTCACGGCTGAAGTCAGGAGCACTCGCATCACGAAGCCTGCACGTGTACTAACGGTATCCACCTCCATGCAGTTGCCAATTTACTTTTTTCCAGCTGTGGACATGTTGATATTGAGCATCAAAGTCCTGTACTGAGCCACATGTCTGAAGACATCTGGGCACGTTTGTCACTGTTGTCTGACGCTTTAGTCATACTTACTGGTGATGGACAACATCCTGCATGGCTTCAGGTACCTCATATCTGTGAGCGAGCTATGGGGTATATCCCGTACTAACAGAGAATGCAGATTTTGTCCGTCATGGCTCGACGGCTCTACGTCCCATCCGCTTGGCCTCTTTGATCACCTCGGCCAGCTTCCGTAGCAGCTTCGCAGAGTCCTCCCCCGACGCCGTGGCCTCAAGCCCTGCAACCTGCGAGGCATCGGAGTGGCTCAAGGAGACAAATTTTCGGGTTTAGCCCCCTTTCCCCCTCCTGCTCGCAGAGGATCTCTGCCGCCACCTCCACCCTCGCAGCCTTCTCCAGAGGCAAGGTCCGCCAGCCCCGCGAGTCACGAGAGAGAGAGAGAGTGTGGGGCAAGGGCCTTGAGAGCACTGCCACGGAACTCGCTGCCTCGGAGATCGTGGGACCCATGGCGAACTCTCAAACTCAGAGCTTGAAGGAGAAACCAGGTGCCCTGGCCCTCCAGGAGCAGCAAGAGCCGGCCTGGCTGCATCGGGGCCTGGAGGAAGCGAGGAAAAAAGCCAAGCGCTCTCTTTCTTTCCATCCCCCCTCTTTTTTGTTGTTGTATCCTGTTTTTGTCCAGGTCCGCTTAAGAGAGCTGTACATTAGGCAGACCACGGAGAAGGGATGGCTCTCAGCTCCCAGGCATCTTCAAGACCCAGGAGAAGTCCCGGGGAAGCGCGTTGACGAAGTCCTGGACGGAGAGCTGCTCCGAAGCTGCCACCTCCTTCAGCACTTCCAAGACAGCTTCAGCAGATCCTTCGCGAACCGCCATGGGCTTGTCGAATCTGGAAGCCCGCGCCCTAGCATCGCTCGACTGGCAGATCACTTTGCCCTTGTAGGACACGGTAAAGACCTCCTGGGCAAAGTCCCTCCCCCTCTCGTCCTCATGGTTCAGCACCAAGCTGCCGATTTCCACCCGCGCGCTCCTGTCGTCGTCCTCCAGGTCCTTTTGGCGACTGATCCGGTACTTGGTCTCTTGCCCGCTCGGGGACAGCCCATTGTGCTGAAAGCTTTCGCTCGTCGGCCTGGGGAAGCAATCCCTCAGTGCACCAGACATGGCATAGGACGGCCGGCTCGTTCGCACCAGCGGCTGCATTCAGACTAGCACAGCTTGTATGTCAGCTCCCATAAACGACCGGAAATCCCACAAACCCAAACATTCCTACAAGTCCCATAATCCCAACCCTGACAGAGGCACGGTGCTGGCTGTGCCTCAGACAGAGCAGCGGAAGCCTTGGCAACCACCTCAGCGCAAGGATGCGCAACGAAACCCCGGGGGCTATCCCAGGACACAAGGAGCTATGAAAAAGCGGAGGGACCCACTATAGCACCAGAATTGTCGGCTTCCCGTTCTTCAGGGAGACCCCAACAGAAGCCCGCCAGATAACAGTAGGTATGGGCGTCTTTGTCTAGACCCCGCAGGGAAGAGCAGGATTCTTGGTCAAAAGGCAACACGAGCTTCAAACTGAGTCTCCCAAGAATACGAAAGCCCGAACCCTAATTTGACCCCCCTGTGCGCCGCCTGAGTTCCCCGGCTGAAGCGAAGCTGCCGTCAGCTGGGTTCAGGGCCCGTGCTGCCAGGCTGTACCTTGTTGCAAAGGCCCCATTACATCCATACAACCCGAAACCCACAGATTCAGGGGCTGCAGATAGCGCCCTTGAACCCAAAGCCGCCAAAGCCGCTGAACCCGATCAAACCCCCGCCGCCCCGGGCGCGCGCCTGAAGAGTGCCTTCAGGGCCTCGGTGACCAGCTCCTCCTGCACTCCGTGGGCCGCCAAGGCCAGGGCCACCTTGCTGAGCACCTCACCTCTGCCCAAAAAAGCGGGAAGTTTGGGAATGGAATGGATGCTTTTTTTCATGTTTGAAGGTAATTCGGATTCAGACGTCGACACCTCAATAAACCCAAGAAGGGGGGCTGCGTCGTGCTTTGCAGTCCTACATTAGCTGGAGATGGCCGAAAGAAGCTCCCCAATTTTGCTAGCCCTCAAAGGGCTCTGCATTCTCCGAGGCTCCGGGCAAGTGAGCCCAGCGATCCGGACCTGCTGGGCGTCCCAGGACGGTGCCTGCACCGTGCGACAAAAAGGGGGAGAGAGGCCGGGCCCCCGCAAAAAGAGACGACATGCCGGGCCGGACCTTTCAGATTTCATGGGTTTTGGGGCTTTTTGCATAGGCGGGCCTCCTTTGCCTTCTCGCAGAGCTGCGTGAGGCCAGAAGCGAAGGGAAGAACCACTTGCCTCACGCTCGGAAATTCAGAGCCACGGGCTGAGACGAAAGCGCCAGCGTCGCCTACGTTGAAGCGAGTAGAAGCCTCGACTGTCATCTCTCGCGCTTCAGTGCCCAAGGGCGAGCAACCCGTTTCTCACCCAAGAGCTAGGCGAAGAACAGTGGCCAGCTGGGGGAGCTCCAACAACGCAAAAAAATACATTGGGCGACCGCCAGTTTCGTTTGTGACCGCACTAACAGCACTCCACAAACCGGCACAGTGGCTTGGACAACATAGGGCAACCCGGCAGCGACCTTCCTGCGAGATAGTCATCTTGCGTTTCAGCTCTGACCCAAACTGCTGAGCGCATCCTGAACTCGGCGCGCTCTCGAGTCTAGCAGTCTAACAAAGGCTGTCTGTCTGAGAGGAGCCGCTGCCAACTGCCACGGCTGATGCCGGCTTAAAGTGAGCCCTTTCAAAACCGGAGGCCTCATCGCCTCCACTGCAGCATCCTGCCAGTCTCGATAGCAACGAATTTATCTTTCCACTCATGATGCGCCCAGGTTTGAATTCGGTGGGATCCGCCTGTGCAGCGGTCCGAATCTTTTCGGCAGCACTCATCAAGGCTCCTGGCTTCGCGACCCGAGCAGTTTCAACACCGCAAACTGCATCAGTCAGTTGCTGTTTCCACCAGTCGTCGTCTCTGCGGGCCTCCTCCTGCCATATGCAACAAGATGGACATGGAAGCCAGCAGTAGTGAAGGTGCCTCGGCTGACCGCTGGCCGATGCAGGCGAATATGTGCGATCACGGAAAATACAGCCAGCACGGTAGCCCTGAGTCCAAGCTGCTGCCGCTGACTTCGCAGCCCATTGTGCCGTCTTGGCCAAGGGCTCCTGTCCAAACTTCTGGAAAAATCGGCCCCAAACCCTAAAGCCCTAAAGCCCTGAAACCCTGAAACCCTAAAACCCTAAAACCCTGGGCCCCTAAAACACTAAAGCCCTAAAGCCCTAAATCCCTAAAACCCTAAACCCCTAAAACCCCTAAACCCCTAAAACCCTAAAACCCTAAAACCCCTAAACCCCTAAAGCCCCTAAGCCCCCAAAGCAGAGTGATGCGTTTTTGATTTGCCGCGGCCGGCGCCTGCGCGCTGCGGAGCGAGAGGGCCGAGGGCAGGGCCGTGGTGAGGCCAGTTGCCAGCTCGGGATCCTCAAAGATAAAAAAAGAGAGCTTTTCTAGGAAAAGGGTATATATAGAATTCTCAAAGGACAAAGAGGGCGAGGGAGAAAGAGCTCTCTCTCGGAACAAGGGCTAGATATAGTAGAGAGAGTTCTCTCTCTAAATTATTTAGGGGCTAAGTTTGGGGACCCCTTTTTTTGGGGGGTCCCCAAGATAGGTGTACGGCACAGCCTTTCATTAAAAGAAGGGACCCTGAAAGGGGACCCCTAACTTAGAGAAGCACCGAGCGCTCTCAGAAGGAGAGAGGGCGCGGGCTCTGTCTGAAGGCGACTCCGGGTCACCGCACCAGTCGGGCCAAGCCGAAGAGCCAGAATCTGGAAGCCTCTCTTCAAGGAGCACTATAGAGGTGGGGGAGCTTAGGGTATAATAAGTTAGGACCCCCCTTGCCCCTTTTGGGGTAATAATGCCACCGTCAACCAATTAGATTATTATTCCTAGGGTCCCCCCTACACTTCACCGATATATCNNTCAATACAATTCTAGGAATAACCATTGCCCCATCTATTATCTCTAAGGTGGCATTATTACTCAAAAGGGGCAAGGGGTTTCTTGTAGAATTTGGTTCAGGGTTTAGGGTTAAGGGTTAGTGCAAGGAACGACAGGCTCTTCAGCAACTTGCCGCTTCGTTTTGGCAGTTCATCTGTCACGCCTTCACGTCAAAGGGTGAGACATGTTGCTCCACGTCCAACTTCTTTGTGCCATGCGTCCACGCGCCGTGAACAACTTGAAGAGCCCCCTTGTAAGCACTTAAGTTGATACATGCTGGTGCTACCACGATCCACTTGATGTGCTGGATGCTGCCTAAATCACTGAAATACTTAGTCATGGTTTCACCGAGAGCCCCAATGTTGCAGTCGTGCTTCTCCGCCTTGGTTATCTGAAGCAACCAAAGCGTCCGACTGGTCTTTCCAGTGACAAAGAACAAGTCCGCTGCGGCGAACACCTTCGACGAAGGGTTGTATAGCTTGTCTGGAATGAGGGCTACCACCTTGTCCAGCCTCTTGAGCTCCTCAAAGTTGCTTGGAATGTTCACAAATTGTTGTTTCAAACTCGTCTTTCCGATGGGCGTGTAGAGAAGCTTGACTTTTCCACCCGCTGTCAGCTTGTGCTTGACGTGCTTCTCGAAGAAATTACCGACCAACGAGCCCATGAAGCCCTCAGCCACGAAGGTGGTGATGAACTCCAACCGCTTCTCTTGCTCGTGTAGCTTCAACTTCTCTGTGAGCGCGGCTACGGCAACTTCGGAGTCAACGAACTTCATCGTCATCGTCTTCTTGGTGAAGTCTGCCTCCGAATCAATGTGAAACATGTAGCTCATCCTGCTGTCGCTCGGGTTGACCATGTTGTCAGGAGTCGTCACCGCTTGCTGCACAATTGTTGACAGGTGATGGACATTTCTGCATGTTATGTATTCTGCAACTACTTGCGTTGCCTCCTGCTTCTCCACAAGCACCCGCTGCAACCAACGAACACATCCACCAACTTTGGCATAGGCGTCTTCAACATTTGCTTGGTCGAGCTCTGCTTCAAACAGAGCGGCGGCATGCTTCCATGCTTCTGTTGCCTTCCAGATAGGCATGAACCTCTTTGTGCTGTGCCTCTGTAGCTGACTCCACGCTGAATGGTAACTCGTGTGGCTGGGCGATGTGACTACAATCGTGCAACCCTGTGGGTTGAACTCCACGACTGCCTTATTCTCGCCACCAATCGGGTCTGCAAGGAGCAACGTCTTTGACGAATCAAGCAGCCCCAACGGCTTTGTCTCACCATGACTTACCATTTTGCCCCCAACAGGTCGCAACCACCATCTGTTCCCACGCTGAATGACGATGGCACTCTTGTTCTCCGCTGCGAAATACGCTGCCACGAACGCAAGAAACACAGACTTTCCTGTGCCCGGAGTGCCAGTCACGACAAACAAACCTGTAGGCAGGTCCCTATTCGACAACCATTTGACGATCTCGTCTTTCATCTTGACATAGCTGTCTCGCACAACCAGCTTGTTCTTCATGTCCGCGGTGCCCAAGATGAAGTTCTTGAAGTCTACCACCTGATCTGCTTTCCACTCGCTGGGTGTCTTGCCGATTGCTTCCTCTAACCACCGGCAAAGGTCGTCTTGAGAATCTGTAACCTTGCCCAATCACAAGAACAAACTACCTCCTAAGCCCAGTAACTCAACCCACCAGCCTAGGACGAAAACAAAAGAACGACTCAACCCCTAACCCCGGCTAAGAAACCCAATCAACTAACCCTATCGGGGGACCCTATGAGGAAACCAAACCTAGGGGGGAATAAACAACTACGCTACAACCAAGGAGCCAACCCCTAAGTCCAATAAGTAAGGGAATCAACTAAGCCTATCGGGGGAAGGTTACGAGTAGAACGGGAAAGACTGCAAGGGTGAGGGTAGAATGAAAAGTTTCCATGTTGGAACAAAAGGGCCGAGGTTGGTGACTGACTCTGAGCTTCAAGCCCTTGATGCAAAACGACGGCAATGGCGGCTCGCTTCGCTTTGTCCACGATGCAGGACTGGAGCAAGAAGAAAAGATCATCTCTTGCAAGCTTTGCGGCGTCTCCAGTATACTGGCTCAGTGCATCAGCTGCAGCTTCTTTGCTTTCTTCATCCAGGCCCTCCACATCTTGCAGTAGCTTCAA